AGAGTAAATAGAATGCTGAAATTTTTTGAGCAGAATAGAGTAGAGTTTTGACGGCATCATGTGGTGGAAATGGAAAATTCACATTGATGAACTAGAACGAGGTCATTCTGACTAGAGCTATCAATTGAAATCAATGTGGTCGTTTCTATTTTTATTTTTTATCGCCCACATACTTGCTGGTATCAAAGTGGTGTTTATGCTTCTTGCTGCCTTACAGTTTACCGCTTTTCCGGCATTTTTATGGTACCACGCACCCACCAATCTCCCACTTGGCCAACAACAGCAGAAGAATGCACAACCAGGTTTGGCCGAGAGGGAATCAAGCATATATTTGCCTGTTGGCCTGCAGTTGCTTCACTTCTCTTGCTCCCGTTGGCGTGATTTCCGATGCCCAATGGCAGAAGTGGACGGTAGAAAAGAGGTTGGCGAGATCAAGCGTAGATGAGACTATAAATTAGGCGCGATTCCCTTGAAGGGTAAAACAGCAAGAGGAAGAGGGCCGAAAAAATGGCTATCGCGATCCGGCAGTATTTTAGTGAGGATTAGAGCAGGAAAGATTCTGTGTGAAGCCAAGCAAGTTGATATTAAACTCTCAGTTGCCTGGTGTGTGTTGTCCAAGAGAGGGAACAGGATGAACGTTCAGAGTGTATCATAACCAGCCATGTGTACACCAATCAGACTTAGTGGCCCATCAGCAGAAAATAGGCATTGACGCAAGAAGAAGGATCCCCGTCTAATGGATGCATCACCTTTAAGAAAATTTAACGAATACATCTCATACTACTGATTTACTGGTAGTTAAGAAAACAATACTTTATTCGAAAAATAAAGTATAATAGTCGATTGTTATAGCAGATATACGTTTGCTTCATCGACAATTCCACCAAAAGAATATGATATGACAAAAAGGCCTGACCTTCCTTAACAATTCACATTTGCCCTCTGACCCAAAATGGAAGCGTCAGCTCAACTCATATCATTGTGGGAAAATTCTTCTTCTACCAGTCCTACATTACCTTAATACATCTCATACTACTGACTTGCTGATAGTCACGAAAACAATACTTAATTTGAAAAATAATGGATGCTAACAACAAAGCAAATGGTGCTCAGATATTCTTTCACTAATATCTGTAAGTGAAAAGGAGAAAGGGATTTTTCTGGTCTGGAATTCGACAGAGGAGACGACCGCAAATCAAGACTAATTTGAAAGTATATTCAAAGTATGCTCATGAGTCTGAACAAGCGGTCCTGGAAGAAATTGGTCTAAAGGCTCCACAACCGTTGGATAAACTCGCAATGTCAGGTAATTTGAGACCAGCGAGATAATGAATGAAGCGTGAGGGCAATCGACATGCATAGGTCGTGTCTATATCCACAAAATGGGCTCGGAACCAAAAGAAACAGGTCAGGCGGAATTGAATTGGAGCCCAAAGCCGAACCCGCTATAAGCAGTTTGGTATTGCAATATTCAAAAGAAAAAATAATTAGTCGGCCGAGCTTGTCTTCGTAACGTGGTCGTGTTGTCATAGCGACTTAGTTGAATGCACATTGTCAAAAGTCCTCTACAACAGTAGTTATCAAAGTTCTCAGCGTCGGACCTTGGACCTGGTACAATCCCAGACATAGTCGGCATCATCAGTGAGTCTTGACATTCTCAGCATCAGACCAGAACTCATCAATGAGACCAATGAACCCTTGACCAACTTTCTGCCGAAACGGTTGTGCTATCATTCCTCTTTCTGTTCTGAAGCATCAATCCGCTCCCTACCCTCCTATCACAACTTCTGATTTGTCTATATTCCACTCGTCAAGAGGTGTGTCCCCATAGCGAATTTACCGTGGCGCCATCACATCTACTGTTTGCCTTGCCCACCTCCCATTTAAGTGACATCTTACCCGGATCTGCCTCACAGACCTGTAGATCCGTTTCTTATCGTTCCGGTTGACCGATTTCCCTCGGTTCCAGTCCCAGTGTACCTGTTACACCAGGTGCTACTTCTCAAACATTAAGAAGCACCTATACTGTCGTCTCACCGAGCAAAGCGCCGACCGTACCAAAGCCAACACCATCTTGGTATCAGAAAATAATCTGTCGAAATTGATTTGGAGCCAATCGAAACCAAGTGATACAAAGTGATAAATGCAAATGGGGAAGAGATGTGTAGCCAATAAGAAATAAAAGAAGACGAAAAGCACTAGACCACCTCAAGCAAACATGATCAAGTGGTCAGTAGAGATCGGTTGAGACGAAAGCCTAACAGCAACCCACTCTTGCACAGACCCGGTCGCAAGAGGGCCACAGAACAAATGTGATTTTACCGGCGAGCAGGACTGCCCCAACTGACACTTTATGATGAGTCTGGCGGCACACGTATGCTTTCCATCATCATACATGTAGTGAAGGAAACTAAAGGTATATTCTTAAGAGAAGGGTTATAAAAAGATTAACTTGCGCAGATTATGGGTTGTACTGTCATTGTTCGAGTCTTGCTAGGGGTGAGGTCGAAGGTGCAGTCCACTTCAGCCCGGATGAGAATACCTTTTCGAAGCAAGGCTGTGAAGTTTAATGGAAACGTAAGGTCTACTCATATGATGGTGGAAAAATTCAACTGCCAGTTGTCTTATCATCTTAAACGAAATAGGTTGAGCACATCCCATACAAATGTTTTTTTGGTAGTCTCAAAAGCCCACTTACAAATACTAAGTGTAAAACCTACTCACTAAGCATACGGAAGTCAACAGCCAGAAGCGTTTTATAATGGGGTCCGTTGGGGAGACTTTAATTTCGCACAAAAGTGCATGAAGAAGAGATTCAAAGGTCGATCTCACCAGAAGACGACGGCTGATTCCGGTTGTACTACATCCGTTTGGCTTTAATACACAGTCGACGTGGACTGCGTCAACCTGAAAGTGGTATTAAAGCCAAACAGCCAGACAGTTGTCCTCTGCTGGTGAGATCGACCTTTGAATCTTTTCTTCATGCACTTTCATACGAAATAAAAACTCTCCCCAATAATATTATCTCATGATATTCATCGGAACCCAGTTACCCTTCGTATCTTCTGTTTGTTTGCAGCAGCCTTTACCTAATCTTTCCCACCAAAACGGCTAATCTCACCGCATTAAATTCACACCTATCTCTCAAATCACACAAATACCATTTGTAAGCAAATTCACATCCAGGCTAGGTCTTGGCCACTGGACCGAACCTAACATCGGGGCCAACGAGACCGTGATCTCTCGCACCAATCACCAGCAGACATTCATACCATGCAAGGGCTCAAGCACGAAGAACTGCTGACTCTGCCACTTCCCCAGAGCCCCGTCTTCCTTGCGGCGCTCGGCACTTGCCGTCGCGTGCTTCCATTGCACCGTTGTTCGCCATAACCTCTCCTGCAGCAGCAGTTTGACTCTGGACAGTCC